GATTCGACCATAGGTATCAACCTAGCCTAAAATTTGGCCTGGCTGTGGCACTAATACCTACTAAGGCTAGAAAGGGTGCTGTTGCGGCTGAAATGACTGCTACGCCTGGGGTTGTGGCTATGAAATAGCATTGGCAGAGGCGCTATCCTTTAAGAAGTAGTTCTTAGCAAAGTGATTACTAGTTAAGAGCATTGTGATATAGTTAGTTACCTAATTCTTCACTATGTTCTTATATTTCACTGTGGCTGTGCGGGCAAATATATATAGATCGATCCGTAAACCATATTCCGCCCACCAAAGAGAAATTAAAACTTGCTCTTGATGTTTTAGGAGAAGATAGAAACTTCCCTGCCTTGATTGAGAATACGATATATCAAATCCTATGCAATTCCCAAGAAGAAAAAAAGTGACCCTGTGATATTACGAATTTGGTCCATTACATAATCAGTTTCTCCGCATCCACGTGAGTCTCCACCAGAGACCCGATCCGATCCCGCAGTTCCCTCAACTTCCCGACAATTTTGGTTCTTTGATTTTGTTGTTTGTCGCATTATCCTCGGCAATAGTTTCGGAGTTCGCCCATGATGCCTTGAAGTGACAGGTGTTGGTGACTCGAATAATGCAGAATCGTGGCCGATTTGGACGAATGATGTCAACGGTACTCCTGCCATGTCCTCCGTCAACGATAACGCCCCCTCGCCGCTCCCGGTGGATGGGGTGAGCAAGCGCAAGCAAGGTAAGCGCTTGTGCAATACCCCCCTGTCTGCCTGATTGTCTGATCGTCGTGTAACTGTATTTGCGGTTTCTGTTTTGTTCTCGGTTATCGATTTATTTTTGCGCGATCGGACTTACTAACCGGTGACCCAAAAATCTCTTAGGCTCCGCAGCTTGTGTCCACTGTCACCGGCGTAAGGTTCGCTGCGATGCCCGTACTGTCGGGACACCTTGTACCAACTGTCGCGCCTCTGGAAAGGCCGACTGTCGCATACACGAAAAGAAAAAGCGTCTTGCAGTACGCTCAATCCTAGATCCTGTTCCGATCCGATCTCGGCCTCTACCCACATCCGATCCCACTTCAAATCCTGCTCTTGCAGCAGGGACACCATTACCACCAAGTTTTCCAACTTCATTCCAGAGCGGCCATGCTACACCGATATCTGGGGGCCTTCCGCAACATGGATTCCAGCAAGGCACGGGATCGGAGGCATTTGGCCGGCACGGCCCCGATATGACGCATGCCCACGAAGCACACACGGAGATGGAGCAACATCTCGTCAAATTGATAGATGAGGAGGAATCCGGCAGAAGAGAAATACAAAGAGGCGTGCGCGCCTTCTATGTCGGACATGAACATTCGAACATGTCATTCTTGTTCCGACAACAACGAGAACAAGATGACGATGTATACCATTTTGCGAGCAACGAAATCCCCCGTCGTCAAATGAAGACCGGTCATGATCAGCTTCTTATGGATGCTCTAACACTTCCAGAACCGGCTCTGGCAGATGAACTGGTCCAGGCTTATTTCACATTTGTCAATCCGGGATACCCCATCATCGACGAAGATTTATTCATGACACAATACCGCAACCGGGATCCTGCAGATCCTCCTCCAGTTCTACTTCTTCAAGCAATTTTGCTGGTTGGGGCACATGTTTCCCGCGGAAAGGTAGAGCGAGACGCTCTCAAAGAAATTTTCTTCCGCCGTACCAAGTATCTGTTTGACAATCGCATCGAGCGAAACCGTGACATTCTTGTTCAAGCGGCCCTTCTTTTGACATGGCATTCGGACAGCGCAGATGATGATGTTGCTGCAGATGCTCACTTCTGGGTTGGGGCCGCTGCACGTATCGCCACGGGGCTTGGAATGCACCGTAATCCCGTTTCCAGTAGCTTCGTGACTCGCGATAGGCGAATGTGGCGGAGAGTTTGGTTCATTTTGGTCCAATTTGACGTGTTGATCTCTCTGTCATATGGCCGACCCCAGGCGATGTAAGTCATCCTAAACGGCCAATTTGCAGCAAATACTAATCAAAGTTTCAATTCAGCAATCTGGACGATTCCGACGTGTCTCCTTTGACGCCCGCAGATTTTGAGAATTGTGGACCTCTTGTACAAGCAGACTACGTGATTCATTTTACCGAACTTTGTAGGATGATCTCATATCTCATTCGTGATCGATTTGGACTTCGGGCAAGTGAGGAACGGCGAAAGGCCGTTCTTCAAGAAGCAGACGGATCACTGGCAACCTGGTCTCTTAAACTTCCTGATAATCTTCGGCTTCGCGCATCTGATATGGATCCTTGGTCCGCCATGCTCCATTTGACCTATAACAACTTCCTCATTCTGTTGCACCGACCTCATCCCAGAGCCTCGGCCTATTCCGATGACTATGGCCCTCACGATGCAGAAATTTGCAGTGCAGCCGCCGGGGTTATAGCCTCAATCTTTGAGGAGCTTAGGATGCACGAGCGTTTGAAGTTCCTTTGGTACACTGGCGTCCATACCCTCTTCACGGCCATGATTCAGGTCCGGGTTGAACTCCGCTTCTCCAACCCAGTTCTTGCCATCAATGCCTTGCGTCGCTTCGATTCTGCCTCTTACTCGCTGCGCGAGTTGGCTCAATACTGGGTTCATGCTGGCACAATCCTGCGACTCTTCGAGGACTCCAAACGTCTGCAAGAAGATCTTCGGATGGCAACTACGGAACGAACCAAGCCGTTCAGCGACCCTCATCATGTGCACAAGATGCCCATTGCCTCTCCTGTTCCATCAATTACCATGCAAACCCCCGGACCACTCTCCTTCGGTGTGCCCACCCCCGAATCCACCCCTCTTCAACAAACGACCCTCTCACCACAGCCCAATGCTCAATTTAATAATTGGATTGCCCCTCTCAGGCTTAATGTTGGCCCGCTGGAAAGGAACGATCCTTTCTCAAGCAGCATGCAAGTCGATTCTATCGAGCCAGCTCGCGACTATCCAGACTGGCGACAGTTATTCGCCTTCGGCGATGTAGACTTACCTCCCCCTGTGGGAGTTGAAGGTCTGCCCGAGCTCGAAGATGAATGGCGGCAGATCTACTGGCAGGATGCCCCAATGGCAGATCTTATTCACGATGGAGGATGGATGCATAGCTAGCTTTGTCTTGCTAGTCTTGCTACCTCTGGTTGATGACTGTATAGAGCTGTCACATTTTCCATCGCCTGCTCTCCACATACCTTTTCTACTTTGACGACGAGATGAGCCATGCCAGGGCACACAGATACACGATACATCTTAGAGACCATGTCAGGTCACAGGCACCTACAGGCCCAGCCTATGATACCATGTCACAAATGATCACATACAATGATAGAGATATACCACGTCATATAATTGAAAATAGTGATATCGAATAAAATTAGTTGGGGCCTCTTTTTGTATCTTGAATGAATCACCTCGATCCCGCCTGTTGTATATGCATTTTCGCTAATCGCACCGCTCAATAAACCCGCTCACAATTCATCAGAAATCGAACCTAAGCTCACCCCATGCAGGAATAGAAAAATGAAAAACAAGACCTAGCCAAACACAAACCGCCGCCAATTATCCGCAAGCACCTGGAGACCATGGCGCAACTCCCATCCACGTAGCTGACAAACCTGTCGGGCCACATCTTCTAGCAACTCATCCATCTGGACACCCGCAACATGAAGATCACTTTCGATAAGAATGCGGTCCTCAGGCAAAGCCTTGATAACATCGCCAACCTTCTTCTCGGCAGTACCAGAGAAATTGATAACTTTCGAGAAAGAGAAATAAACATCCGACGGATTTGACCGATGCAAGAACTGACGAATAGGCTCAACAGAACCGGTATAAGAGTGCATGCAGATGCGAGGCGGGAAAGGCCGATGCGATTTCCCATTGAAGTCAGATGCTTTAGTGGACTGAGATCCATCCGGCGTCTTATCTCCATCATCATCGTCGTCATCATCGGATACAGCGCCTTCCGCATCCCGCTGCTTGTCTCTCTTCCGTCGCGATAACACGACCAGTTCATGTCCCGCCCATAGCTCCTTGAGCACCTCAAAGACTCCTCCATGGGCTTGCACGCTGTGCATCGAGACGGCACGGTTCATTTCTCCCGCTAGCTGTAGCTGCGCTTTCAGCACGGTGCGCTGGTGTTCCGGCTTGACGCGATAATTCGAGAGACGTCGGCCCTCACGTGAACCGGGTGTAAGCTGGTCATCTCTGTTATCGGTATCGGCTGGAGTCCATGGAATCGGGAGTCGGAATGACCTGTCCAAGCCTACTTCGCCAACTAGCGCATTCGGGAACTGTTGGAGTCGGTTCCGGGTTTCAGATATTAGTTCTGAGAGGGGCTTGGGAACAGGAAGTAAATCAATGAATGGCTGGTCGTCGGCTGCCGGTGGTGCTAGGACACTGGTGTAGTGGGCGGTCTTGTGCTCAGCTGGGTTTTGTGTTGCTGTTGGTTGTGCAGTGTCGTCCAAAATCTGGTGCGAGAACCACGGGTGCCAGCCGAAGCAGGGAACTACGCGGTCTGTTGTTGATTGGCTTTTCTTTGCCGAGAGTGAAATTGCTGTTTGTTGTACGAGATCTTGATCTTCCCCGCGTGTAGCCATGATTGTCAGTGTTGTCGCTTTCATCTGCAGGATGTCGGTCACTGAGGCCAATGTGTCGGTGGGGTGACAGTGGGCATCGTGGACACCAATGTCCCAAGGGAAGGGTTCGTCCTCTGGCATATTTGGGGGATATTCAATGGCAAATTAGAATAGGGTCCTCCTGGAGGTTTTGATATACAAAAGCTGAAAGTTCCCCGAAGTGATGTAATTGGTCGTTTTGTGCCTGGGGCATCCATCACATGCTTTCTCCGCAATTTGCTGTTTTGTGCTGTGACTGGGCGTTCTGTGACTGGGCGTTGTAAAACGCCGAAAGTCTTATAATCATGGACTTAACGGTGTTTTGATCCCTTGGGGATATAGACTGACTCCTCAATGTGGCCCTCCATATCAACGTTGCTCGCGCTGCCTATCCTGGGCCTCATCTCTATCCCACTAATTCTCTCAGCATGGGTTACAATCTCCGCTGCGCTCTTTGCACTGTTACTCAGACTATCAGTAGTCTGTATTGAACTAGTCTATGGATTGGTCATGCATTTTTTCTCAGTGCCAACCTCATCTACCTCATCATTATTGACATTCGCGGCCTCAGAACCTACAACCCCAGCTACCGGTAGATCAAGAAGGAACTCCAGCCAAACTACGACACATCCACGAAAGGCAAATGACCCTCTCAATTCCTGGGGCATTGGTACCAGCCTGGACGACCCCGCAAACCGAAAAAGGAACTCTTATGCACGGAGCATGATCGAGGCCCACAACTTATCTACCCAAACACCCGTCTACAGCCTACCTATAAGCGGCGATGAAAGACGAGACTTCGAAGGCGTAGGAGGCTGGCGCTCGTACCGGACATCCAAAACACGCAGCTCACACACTCCACACGAGAAAGCCACAAGCTCGACTTCGTCCTCTTCAACACATAGCACCGACGACATCGATCCAGACGCAGACATCGACGCAGACGAACGAGCCTGGCTTTCTCTAAACAACCGTCTCGAGCTCCCCTCGCAGCTCGTCCCACTATGCACAAGTGTCCACGCCGGAAGCACCCTTACCAGCCCCGAAAGCGCCGACTGGCGCAATAGCCGAAGCAATTTCCAATCACGGACAGGAGCAACGGGTTCACGGGACATCTACCCGGAGAAGCAAAAAGACGGGTCAAGACACCACCACCGTTCACTCACGACTTCCTCGCTGACGACCTCTGACCGATGCACGGGAACGGGGCTCTCCATAGCGCTGTCAACCAGGCCTGATAACGTAGCTGTTCATTCGAGGGAGTACGGCCAGTCGATGTTATCGTCGGCGGCACGATTCACGGCCCCGTTCATGACGCCGCAGCCGTACGCACGGCTGGATTCGAACTCGCTTTCTCAGTCGCGGGCTCTCCCCCGCGCTCTCAACACTAGCGGCGCACCGTTCACGAGCTCATATCTCTCCAGCTTTGGGGATGGGCTCGGACAGAGCTTTGGGAGCAATAGTAGTGGTGGGAGCTTTGCTAACGGAGGCGGCGGTGGGTACTTTTCTTTGAGGCGGCCTGGATCCTCTGGTAGCCATATTCTCTCTGGAAGAGTTAGCCCTAATACTAGTGGGTATACTACCCCGGCAGTTGGTCTGTCGACTGAAGAGCGTGACGCTTCCCCTGTGGGGCTTTCGCGGTTGATGGCGCATTATCCCACTAGCCCTAGGCATCGGAGACAAAGTATCTCTGGGCTGAATTCGAGGGGGCTGGCTGCTGGGGATCGAACTAGATGAAAGGTGTTGGTTCTCTTTTTTTTTTTTTTCTTTCCCCTTTGGAAGGCGCAAGAAGCACAAATGATAAAAAAAAAGGCCATGGAAGCTGTTTCTCCGACTGGCAACTGTGGTTGATTCTGTTCAAGTCTATCTAGTCAATATGTACCGTACAGAATTGTAGCCATGTGAAAGAGGGAGAGAGAGAGGTACATAAACACCAGGGGCAAAAAAAGAGAAAAAGCCACAATAAACGAGGGATGAAGGTATCCAATATCAACATCACACTCCAGCTCTAATTTTGATAGAACAATATACATGGCTAAGGGAAAGAAGCCATATCCACGTCATTACTGACGACTCCTCTCCCTCTGGTTGACCTGCTCCATCTCGGTGAGTACAATATCGTTGAACTCCTCCCAGCCATCGAGATACAAATGGTGGCCAGCTTTATTCACAACAACCACTCTAGAGGAACCTTCATCGGTACGCTGCTCCTCTGGAGTGGCCTTCTCTAGGACTTTGCGCTTTTCTTCTTCCAACTTAGCGACTGCTGCATGGCCACCTGAGACATCCATCCAGTCGTGGTCGCCATACATGAATACCACGGGAAGACCCTTCTCGCGCCGGGCGGGTGCCAAAGACTCAGATGAAGTAGCGGCAGTGGACGCGGGCGTACTCTCAGAGGGCGTGGATGAAGTGGTAGCGGCGGCAACTGGACGAGGGAGGCCGCTTGTGTTTTGGATCAGTTGTCTTCCGAGGCCCTGAACACGGTGGATCAGAGGACTGCGAGCGAAAGCACCGGGGGCAAGAATGTATGCTAGCGCGTACTCGCCGCTGCCGCGAAGACTGAAGATCGAGTATGAATAGTCGTGGAGTGCTTTAGCTTCCTCGGCTGGTAGGTGGGAGAAACGACGAGAAGTCCATCCAGACACGAGACGTGGCCCTAAAGGTCCAGCCCACCGCACCAGACTGAAGGGGGAGATATTAGCGTCCCACAGATACGCGAACCACTTGGGAAGAACCCGTCGTGGGGGTTGTGATGGAACGGAATCAGTCGGAAGTGGTTGGCGCCCAGTGATAAAGCTACCGTCGGCTGTCTTTGGCGGAATGGCAGACGAACTGATATCTCGCTCGTCTTGAGTAAGCTCGTTGGACAACGTTGATGCCGGAGGCTCGGCCACATCTGCAGTGACAGCGTAGGGGTCCTCCGGGATGCCGACTGGAGATGCTAGGATAAGCTTATTCAGGTGACCGGGGTATTTCAGCGCGTAGGCGACCGCCATGTACCCGCCGAGACTATGCCCAAGCAAGGTGAAGCGATCAATCTTTCGTTTGATGCGCCATTCCTCCAAGGCATCCACAAACCAAGCCTCAGCCTCCCTGATGGCTTCTTCTCTTTCTTTTGCCTTGATTTTGAATGAGGGTCGAGTACTCCGGCCCATGCCTAGCATGTCCAAGGCATGGAGTTGCCAGCCCTTCAACCGACTCAGCGGTTCGAAGTTTTTATAGAAGAACCCAAGTCCAGCGCCGTAGCCGTGGAGCATAACCAAATGCTGGTCTGCTTCCTCGCCGACCCTCTCCACCGAGAACTCATTGAGCGCGCGGTCTTTCCCGCTCAGCTCTACCATGCTGGAGCGCCATCGGCGAGGCCCGTAAGGGTCATCAAGGGAGTTAGTGGTGACTTCGCCCAGCTGATTAGGGTCTGCACTCTCAAGGCTGGTAGGGGTAGTGCCATCGGGGAGCTCTGTTGTTTGTCCAGTCTGGAGGTGGGTGGGGGGCTGGTGATGCAAGTAAGGCAGATAAGAGAGGACTTTGTGTTCGGCAGCAGCTGCAGGTATCCGGGCCCACTATATAAAGCGGATTGTCAGCGGAATTCGGAAATGGGGGCTCCTCGATTATAGCTTACCCATTGATTGAAGCCTTCACGGTATCCCAACGGGAAAAATGCGCGCGCCGCTGCCGCGCCAGTAGCAGCCTGAGTCGCATATGGATTTCCTGAGATCCTCTCGGGATTATTTTCAACTGGGGGTTGATGACGTCCATGAACATCCTCGTGGGACGAGTTCAATGATTCTGACGCCATTGAAGACAGTCGTCGCCTCCGAGGGAGGGTGGCAAATACGACTGAGCGAAGTTTAGCCTGACGTAGAGGGACTGAAAATGGAAAGGCAAGTCGTGAAGCTATGCCTGCGGTTCGTAAGTTGGTAAGATAAAGGGTTTCTGCTAGCAAAAGTTGAACGGTGGCGCTCATGGGCGTATAAGAAGGGAGCACGGAGACAATTCGGTCACTCCGCTTAACCCCGGTAGGTATAACATGCGCGGATAGAAGAATTGTAATATCCGATGGAAGAGAGCCGGTAAAACTAGAAATATGATGGTTGCAATATCCCAATGGTCAAAATAGAATTATTTGTAAGAAAAGAAGTCAACTGGGCAGATGATGTCGATCCAACTTTCGCTTCCTCCTTTGAACTTCCCGCCTTTCTCCCTCTCTTCGTCACATGCGATGATACCAATGACATTCGCTCTGGGCCGGATCGGCCAAGTTTTGATTTGACTTTTTAACTGACGAGCTTTACTTTTCATTTTCTATTCTCATCTTGGGATTCTTTTAGCATGGCTTCGCCTTTAGACCAGGTGGTCAAGGGTGCCCCAACACCGGATGCCCGCGCCTCAACAACCCCAGAGCCATTGAACTCCTCACGGTCATCTCAAGCCCCTCGTTCAGATCCCTCTCCTCAACGTCCCTCGACCCCAGACCCGCTAGCACACCTTCCCTCCTCCCCACCCCAGATCTACCTCAACCTTTTAATACTCGAAACCTCGCTGCGAGCCCAATATCTGGCCCTGCGCGAGCGTCGCCGCCAGAACACGTTCTTCCTACTTCTACTAGCCGCTTGGCTTGCGCATTTTGCATATGCCCTTTTCCTTCGCCCACGTGAAGATGGCCGCGGGGTCGGCGGCTCTGTCTACTGGGTGGTGGAGATGGCGGAGAAAGTCGCCCTACTTGGTGGGGTGGTAACCGCACTGCTCATCTGGGGTACAGGGCAATGGGAACGAGGGATCAGATGGCCTCGGCGCTGGCTCGCTGTCTCCAATCGCGGCCTGCGCGTGATGAACACCAAGATCATCATCATTCGCGGTCCCTTCTGGCAGGAACTACTGTCCTACATCTCATTCCTATACCCATTCTCCGCCCCGTTCTTACCCTCCCCCAATGGAAACTACCATTTCGTGGAGCAGAGCCCCTCCGATAAATGCGCTGGTGGTAGTCGGCAGCACTATCAACAGTACTACAATGGCACTGACACCGAGTCCGGCCTGGTAGAAGAAGACCTCAGCCCAGGGGGCGACTACATCCGCCTCCTCCTGCTACCCAAGTCCTTCTCCCCAGAATTCCGCGAAAACTGGGACGATTACCGCACAGACTTCTGGGAAAAGGAAAACGAGCGTCGCGCCCAGCTCCGCCTGAAACTACGCGAGCGCGAGCACCACCTCGCCCAAACCGAAGGAAGTTGGCTCAACCGACTCGGGTTCGGCTGGCGCGCCTCACAGCGCCGCCGCCTCGTAGCAGGAACTCTGCACCGCCCAATGGAGCCGGAATTCAAACACCGTCTAACCCACAGCCACCACCCCTCCATCACAAAACTCAACCAGGAGCAACGCGGCCCCTCCTCCCGCCGCAATACCCGCTCCGAGTCCCATTCCCGTACCTCATCCCGCAGCACCACCCCCGTCGACACAAGCTTCGAAGACCGTCCCCCTTCTCGCTCTTCCACTTCCAGCCGGCCCCGTCGCGGAAGCACCGCGTCTGGACAGGACGGGAGCCCGCAGCAGCGGAAACGGAAAGGCTCGACGCTTCGGAGGGGTCTGTCGCCTCTCACGCAGGCGCAGATTCGGGAGGGTGTACGTACGCCGTCTTTCTCGTCTGATGACTCTGTATTGCCTATGAGTATGGTTGAGAAAGATAAAGAGGAGGCTATACCGAACTCTGTTCCGGAATTGTAATACTGCGCTGGCACCTTAGCACGAAATGTTGTTCATGCTTATGCTGTTCATATCTCTATACCCTGTTTTTTTGGTCTCTTGTCATGTTTGCCAGGCAATTGTTCTCAGAGCGCTGTCTTTGGAAACTTACATTAGCTATGTATGCATATCCCTTACAGCGCGGTGTCGTTAGTTCTATAGATAAGCCCGAGTGCCTCGCCTATGTATGCTGGTGTGTTGGATCTGATTCCTTTTGGAAAACTCCCACTTTACTGCAGTCAAATAAACGAATAACTGCAAATCAGATCACACTATAATTGCAGGTGAGCTAAGCGTAGGACTACCATTCAGGTCTTGATATAAGTCAAGGATCGAGTATTCATTCATATTTCTCGTATTGAGTTCACTAATATGCCCTCACAATCCCACTCCATACGCCAAACACAAGCACAAACAAAAACATGCGATGATATCAATCCCAATGCAATGACAAGAAAATTAGACCCGGTACACATCTTCCTCGTCCTCGAGGTACATTAGGATATTATCGTCGTTCATGACCCGCAAGGCCTGGATAGCCTCGGGGCGGGGGAAGACCTGCGAAGCGCCAAGCTTGGGCGACTCCCGGATAGCAGTATTGACGGCATTGATCAAGTCATCAATCTTGCATGTATCACTGTCCTTGAACACAGTCTTGCCCATGAGCGGGCCAAGAGTCTGTCGGAATACTGCCATGCGGGCAGGGGTGATCGGGATGTCTGTGGAAGTGGACTGCGAGTCTGTCTGAGACTCGATGAGCTGTGAGGCCGGCTGTGAGGATGCCATTGACATCTGGGAGTCGGTTTGTGTTTGGGTGCGGGCTGCCTGGCTCGAACGTAGGCGTTGAGCGCGAGGGCTAGCTGTGTATAGGCTATCTGGGTCTTCGTCCTCGTCGGGGACTGGAATACTAGACTGCGTTGCGGTACCGCGAGTGCGTGCTGTGCCTGTGCGTCTACCCGGTGTGGCGGTTGATGTGTTGCGGGTGGTGGTGTCATCATCGGAGTTGTCGTCGAGTTCGGCATCGCTGTCGTCGTCGGAGGAATCATCGAAGGTGGTCACCTTGCGTCTCTTCCGGCGCTCGTCTTCGACCACTTCCTTGAACATGGCGAAGCGCAGGATAGCCTCGGCATGTTTGGCATCCTTCTCGTCTACTCGGTTGGACAGACGGGCCTTGGCGTGTGCAGTGGACAAACGAATCAACGTCTCTAGGGTACGGGGGGTGATGGGCGATGTACGACGCTTGTTGCCGGTGAGTTCATCATTTCGCAGAGCAGAGTATGTGGCGATGACGTGGTCGGCAGCACCCTTGGTCAAGACGGGCATGATTCGCTTCTTGGCGTATTGGATGTACTTCTTGATGAAGGGAATACTGATAATTTCCACATTCTTGCCGCGGCGGCGACCAGCATTAGCAGCATCTACCATACCACCGTGGAGCATAACATTAAACTTCTCGAAAACCTCACTTGGCGCGTTGGCATCTTGACGGTCTTCACCACCCACGCCCAATGTTTGATTGAGCTGTTCCCGAACGGGCGCACCCTCTTCAGTGCCAGGCTGGCGATAACGGTGCATGCGTAGAACGTGCTCTGAGATTATTCGGTCATGGGAATCCTCAATATCATCGGTCACGACAAATAGCAAATCGAAACGAGAAAGCAAGGAGTCGGGGAGAGCAATGTTCTTATGCGGGTCCTTGTGGGGATCATATTGGCCATAAATAGGGTTTGCTGCTGCAAGAACACTGCAGCGAGCGTTCAAGCTTGTGTGGATACCGGCTTTTGCGATTGTGACAGTCTGCTGTTCCATGACTTCGTGAATGGCAACACGATCGACATCACTCATCTTGTCGAATTCATCAATACACACCACACCACGGTCACCGAGGACCATAGCACCAGCCTCCAATCGACGTTCGCCGGTTTCTTTGTCGGAGGTAACGGCAGCAGTCAAACCGACACCGGACGAACCTCGACCGGTAGTAGCGATTGCCAATGGCGCGGTATTCAGCACGAAACGAAGAAGCTGGGACTTCGCAGTCGAGGGATCACCAACCATAAGGATGTTGATATCACCACGAAGATGGGTTCCGTTGTCCAAGTTCTTCTCCATTCCACCAAGGAGCATCAGAAGGATGGCTTTCTTGATGTAGTCATGTCCGTGGATACTGGGGGCCAGAGACTTGGACAACAAGTCAAATACGTTTCTCTTCTTGGCAATCTGATTGATGTTTCGAATGTCGGTATCCGTAAGCACGGCCTCCGCAATACCTCCACCGCTCTTTGAAGACAACTGGATAATGTTGTTCGCCATGACGACGGTGCGGAACGTCGACGAGCCACTTCCTCCATTACCGAGGGTGCGGTAGATACCAACCAACTGGATTCTGTCGCCAGGCTTGGCAGTGTCGACCAGGTCGTCGTCCAGAATTACATCGACACTTCGGGGCAACTGTCCTGCCGGGGCACGTTCGGGCATTTCTTGGATGGAAATCGACTGGTGGTCAAGATATGTTGAGTAACCATATTCGGTGATAAGCTAGAAAATCTATATTAGTCTCAAGAGAATTTGGTAAGAATTGTTGGGCTGGACTCACAGGGTTCTTCTCATCGTCCTCTTGAGGATAAACGTTCAAACTGGTTGCACCGCTGGCGCCCATAGTTTGATCACGATATTTTCTAGCAACAAACCGATCCTTCCTCTCGACGTAGTGAACACTCTGGACGACCTTGGGGCGTACCAGGGAGCATTTTGTCACAATTCCCTCGAGCGAGACCATATGGTTCAATTGTTCTGAGCCCAATGTGCGCGGATTGCAAGAGAATTCTCCAAATGCGCCAACATAAGCGCAGTAGTAGTTCTATCGATATCGTTAGACATTCAATGTCTGCAAAGAACCATCCGAAACCGAATACACACCGCTTCATCTGAAGTTTCTCTAAGTGGTCGACCGGGTAGGGTTTTGACAACCGCCTTCAACGCAGTGTCAAAGGCTTGTGAATAATCGAATGGCGAAGAGAGCAGCCTACAACCATTAGTCGGTGAACCCAATTGCACTTGTTATAGAGGTGTAATTTACCCATCGGCAAGCTCCCGGTTGTGTGCTCTGATTTCATCGATGCTGACCTGTCCAAAATTATCAGCACCACCTCCAGACAGGGAATTTCGCAGATCCACGTACCGTCAATCGTCGCGCACCCCTATTCAGCATAACCACAATATCCGCTCGGTAACTGTTCCAGTCTGTTAGATGTATATTATGGCACATTCATCTTCGAAGTCGACGAACCTGCGTGCCCGTGCATCATCTGAAAAAAAGATCTTTATTAGTTCAAGGGAGCATAACACAAAACACAATGGACTTACTAGGGTCAAGAAATTCAGTTGCGGAACGCACACGATCTTGCGCGGCCTCATCACGTAGTTGTAACCCGTCCATGATGTGTGATGCAATATAGTGTTGGTGGGAAGGAGGGAGTCGAGGGGGGCCGATTGGGATTTCCCGATTTGCTAAAGTGGAACGCGTGAAGTTGCACGCGAGGAAGGCGCGTCCCACGGGCTACCACGGGTACCACGTGCCGTGCTGACTCAGCGAATAAATTTTCAAAAAGCTATATAAACCCCCATCCCCCCCGATCTTTTTCTTCTTCTTCAAGCGACTCTACGTGCGTTCTCCTCCCCCCAACAGTTGGAAACCTTCTAGGATTTTCACACTGGACTTTGGCATTTTGAACTTGTTCACTGACTTTTTTTCCTCTACAGTTCAAAGAATCACTTTAGAGTAGACGTCCCCTTTCTAAACTCTTTAAAAGAGCCACAGAATCTCCACCCTTGCTGATGACTACATGTCCTCGATGCCCTAAAGTGAAACCTTTTTACTCCCGCCTCGACTGTCACGCGTGCTGTTCGCAGTGTCTGTGTTTCGGTCTAGGGAGTGGTGATGATCTTGACCTGGTCTCGATGTCTGACTTCGGTCGGTCGGTCCTGGTGGGTGTCGAGGAGGTCTGAAAGGTCCTCTTCCATTCTGGTTGATGGTATGGAGCGCTGTATGGGATGTTCATCCTGTTTACTATTTATCCACAATGAAAAAGATTTTCAATTTAACCTTATCCATAAGATGTTCTCTTAACTTAATCCTATGTTGCGTTTTATGTATACACTATCTTAGGCTTGTAGGTGTGAAAGATACCATTTTCACATGTATATTAATCTTTTTTCGGCCTAATAACCAGTTATGGCATTCTCTACTTCATCCTCACCTGTTCAGTGTGCAGTGACTGGACATGGGTAAGTTTCTTCACCCTTAACCCCACATCCCTATGATTATATAATATTATTCTGCCAGCCAAAAAAAAAAAAAGCATATACTATAACTATCCTTAAAAATGATTAGTTACATGTAATGAAGGCATTCGGTTTTAAGGTCTAGGGACGAAGAATCACCACTTTGTTCTCGAAAAAAAAAAAAACCATCAGCTTTACGTGCTATTTTAGTGATCCCATTCGTAGTTACTACGAGTTTCAGGTAGGCGGTATAAAAATATGTTGGCGGTGAGCTAGGTCTACTGACTGTACGGAGTACCATCGCAACGACGAAGTAGTTAATCCTACTACGTACATGTAAATTCAAGATTATAAGAAAACTTAATTGCTTATGTATGTGGTCTCTTCCTTGGCGTTACATTTAATATACTACGATATCTCTTTGAAACTAGAAAATGGAAGAAAAATAAGGGCCAAACAGTACATGGACTTGAATATATATAACCAGCGAAGTCTAATGGAAGTTGAGAAAATCAATGTATTTATTGTACAACACTAAATGTTAAAACAAGGATATATATACAAGCTAAAATTACAAGATCACTATACATACATGGAGTATACTGCTTAACGGTTGTTGCTCGGTTCTTCCCTGGGCGTTGTCCAGGGTCCCTTGTACTTTTTTCGCTCGGCGGCCCGTTGGGAGGGTGACCGTCCGGGTTTCACATGCAGCCCAGAATCGACCTTGAAGAGAAGGTGCGTTGGAGTCTCGAGCTTCCACTTGCGATGATGCTTGTCGAACAGTTGCCGCTCGGGGGTCTGCCTCGTGATGTCGGGATGTTGCAGCCTCTTCAAACGTCGCTTGTAGGCCTCAGCGCGCGGGATATCGTTGGAACTGAGCGCCTGATGGATGACCTTTTTGTAATGGCTGACTTGGAGCTTCCAGCGCCTTGTCACTGCAAGTTGTTCGTCAAGTGAGGCCTGTAGGTCAACTTGGTCTTCGCGAGGAAGAATGCTTGCTAAAGAGCCCAATAATTCATTTTCTTTACTGTGGAGTGAGCCAGTACGACTCAACACGAGAGGCTCCTCAGTCGCTCCCTCAAAGCTCCGTTCACGCATGTCGCCACTAGAGCCAAGAGCACCAGTGCGCGAGGAGAACAAGTGGGCCTGGCGTGGGCGCATCTTGCCTTTTTCTGCCTTGCCGCGAAGGATTGTACCCTGATGTTTATCAGGCACGTATGGCATCGCAGCGAGGGTATCGACAGTCCGTGGCGCAATTTTGTAGAGATTCGCCAGATGCTCATTCCCCTCCATAATACTTGTTTGCCGGAGCCGTTGCAGTGTGCTGGCGAGTTGCACCATGGTGGGGTAATGGGGGTGCATGTAATCGGGCTCGATTTTGCGCCAATGTTTTCGCGCCAACTTTCCCATCATTCTCCGAGGTTTGGTGATACCCGAGCGACCTTCGAGATGAAGGATTGTTACGGGGGCATTGAGTGGTCTCACGCCATACCCTTTGAGAAACCACGACCAACCAGGGAAACGATCAATGAACTTCTCCTCGAAGAATCGAAATGCCTCCACATTGTCGGGATAATTTTCAGATGTCGCAAGCATTCGAACGTAAGTTGACCAGTTGAAGCCAGTCAATGCAAAGCCTGCTGCCTGAACTTCGGCCACAACTTGATGCATTCTCTCAAACATGCCTCGGCGGGCCAACGACTCCAGGTAAATCGAGAGTGGAAAATCCAGGATGAAGCGTTGGGCTGGAATGATTTTGGGCTTATCTGCTTGAGTGGTGGGCATTGAAAGCATTGACGGGAGAGGCGACTCTGGTGCTGGCATGGTTGGCATCGGCGACTGCGAAGACAAGATTTTGTCAAGGTCACAGGTACCCGCTGTCTTGCTTACATTTGCCATAATAATGTTCCAGCACTCGTCCACTTTCTCGTCATTCCGGGTTCCAAAATAGGCATTCATAACGGCTTTGATGAAGTCAATCGGCAAGGATTCCAATTCATCGCCGTCCGATGATCCCGCAGTTCGTCTGGATCGCATGTAATGGTTGAAGGCTTGGAGTGCCTTATCGGCGCCACCTTGGATTCCGTATGCCTCGATCAGCCGTTGATAGTGCGTGTCATTGAAAGACTCAACAGCAAAGCCCTCTAGCGGTTTAGATAGTGAACTGTTGACTGGAACGGGATCGGCATCGAATCGTGCGATTGATTCAGCAAGTGTCCTTTCTGCGTTCTCGAGGACAATATCTTCAACAGGAGTCTGAAGATCTTTTGCACTTTCCACGTCTCTCTCAATCTGCATTCTCAGGTTCAACAGGCTTGGCTCCATCCCAACTCGACCGAAGCGTGCTTGCATTTCGCGGGAGATGACATGCACCATATCGCGGTTCCGCTGCTTCACATATCCAAGCAAGAGAATGGAAAAATGGTGCTCTGTGGCTTCCAAGCCAAGTTCATGCATCTTCCTGAGAGTAGTTCGCGCACGATCCACTTGATTAGCATAGACATAAGCAAGCATAATAGCCGCGTAAGTCATGGCATCCGGTTTCAAGCCTAGCCGTCCCATGCGGTCAAGGACGCGCCGGAAGGAAAACTTCGATACCCTGAATGCATATCGCATTAGAAGAAAATTCCACATTCGCAAGGGAGACCCCCCCACCGCTAAATCCCAGCTTCTTGCGATAAGCTCTTCTGCATGACCAAATTGTCCATTCTTGCAGTACGCCTGAACAGCCGTATCTAGCATTGGCCTCGTGATTTGTACTCGACTCTTCTGCGCCTCTTTGAGTAATTGACGGATGGCTTCGATGTCGCCTCGCTGGGCGAAAATCCCCATCAGTGTGCCCAATGTGAACGAGTTGGGAGGTACATGGTTTTCTCGCATTTCAGAGAAGGCGGAAATAGCACCTGGGAGATCCCTGGCAGCAGCGTGCGCCAGAAGCAGTATATTCCAGCAAACTGTGTTCAGCGGGAGACCAAATTCTGAAGGAATTCGATCGAATTGCCGCCGTGTCTCGCGCACATCACCTAGCCGTGCGTGAACGACAAGAAGGGGGGTCACCGACCTTTGGGACTTCGGGTTGCCATGATCTGCAAGGAGCCTGTCGAACCATTTTTGGACAGCTCGTACATCCCCAATTTTGGAAAAAGCAACCATTGCGACATTGTATGAGCGCATGCTTATTCGTTTATGTTCATCAAAGAGCGCCTCTTCGTCCAAGAAGTATGGCAAGCTGTTGGTCATTTTGAATGTCAACAAGCGTTCAATGATGGAACGAATAATCAGATCTGAGTATGGCCTTGCATTCGGAAATTCTTCGCGCAATTGGCGATAAAAAATGATGCACTTGACAAATTCCGACCTCTGCTGTGATTCTAGGTAGAGATTTATCAAGTGAAAATAGTGACTGGGATGCACAAAACCAAAAGGACGGTAATTGCGCAACAGTGAAAGCACAGTCGGTAATGGTGTGAGCTTGACAATGTCGTGAGACTCGAAAAATCGTTGAAATATACGGGAAGTAAAGTCTTTGCCCCCATCAGTAAGATACTGGGTATCGGCTGAGGTTGATAAGTGCGTTTTTAAATCAAGGAGATGCCTGGCAAGGGAATAGCCAGGAAAGCGAAATCGATTAAACATGCATAGCAAAGATTGCAATGGCGGTCGCTCGTTTTCAGGAAATCTCAATAGGAGCCCCCAGAATGAGGCAATTGAGTCCCACTGTCTGGATTCCACCATGTGCATCAGACACAGCGAGATGATCTCTCGAGCAAATGGCATGGAAATGGCTCGCCGACCGATAGCGCCCAAATTGGACGGTTTTCGCTTCGGCAATGAAAGAACCCGTGATCTGATAATGTTCTTGAAGTCTAACTCGGTGAGATGTTCGGGTGAAATTCTTTTGAAGATTAACCATGCTAGTGTTTGCTGCAGCTCTCCGGATGATTTACTCATATAAGCACAGAGCGCAGAATCGAGTTCCGACGGCCATCCGGCTGCGACGTACATCACCCAAGCTTTATCAAAATCGCTGCCATTCTTCTGAAGGAAAGCTCGGAGGGCTTCGATCGCTTCTCTGTCCTTATCGAGCGATTCTGGATTCTGAGGCCCTTGGACAGGCTTGGATGCAGCTTTGCGGGCGAATGAAGTCTTTGCGGTAGCTTGTTGAGGACTTGAAATGGAAGTATAAGATCTTGAAAAGCCCAGGTTTGGTCTCCTCCGAAATCCAGTCCTGTTCTGAGAGCGAGGTAGACGAGAAGCTACCAAAGTTTGAGCATGCCCAGGATATAGGAATTCGAGCGACGGCCCTATCCAATCGCTTGACTCTCTGCTTTCGTGTTGACTGCCAAGAACGGGGGACGATCGTTGGCCTGACGCCTGCAGAAGTGCGATAAACCACTGAGGAGCATCCGCTCCAGCGCCATTGTGCTTCCAGAAATGACTAGACAGGCAGTTTCTTTTTCGGATGACACCATTGGAATCTTGAAGGAAACGCCGTCCCGCGTTCTCGAGGCAGCCTGTTGCACGTTCGAGCATCACCCTCGATCGTAGTTTCAAGCCGTAGGGTGCTGCTATGATTCCGCGGGGTGTATTGTGTTCGGTTCAGAAGTTCTGTCTATAATCCTCGTGTTAGAAAACTGGCCGGGCTTTGAATATGACAAGCAATTGGGCAAGTTGTCCTTGATGGTGCCATTCGTACCAAGGAAGGAAAACCAGACTCCTCGAATTGTGCACCACAATGTCGCTCACACACAGGTCCCGGACATGAATTGCCAATCAAGGTCCAAGCACCTTGATTTGAACAAAAAAGGCAATGAGGTTCCATGAGCTTGGAGAAAACAACGCGAAAGATTCGGAGGTGCATGAAATTGCCGGGGTTTCACCGCCTTCACTGAGCCCACTTCAACCGTGTCCCTCCCATTCTCATCACAAGGACCCCGAATATAGGAACAAGGAAGAAAAATATCATGGAGGTCACTGAGTTTATCTTCAAAGAGAGAGAGGAGGTTCTCCTTGTGGGAGACTACAATGCCTACCGGGCACACACTACCAGAAAACTGCAGAAACTCCGCAAGAAGCTTGGTCAGGCCACAGTCAAAGGCCGCAAGTATACTGCCAAACCAGCAGTGACTGCTGAAAATGTTGGAAGCAATGTGTCGTATGTCGCTTACCCATATTTCTATTCCCAATTACTGCTTTGACTAGATTTCTAACCTACGCTAGATATGTACATCTTTTGCTTCTTAGTTCCGAACGAGCTTGGGCGCAAGCAATGCACATGAAGTCCACACATTCCGCAGATACTTCCGCAAAGGGCATCTCTGGTGCTGCTCGGCGTCACATTATTTCACGACTGAACAAGGCCACTGGTTATGCGCAGCATCTAGTCTCGCTGCTTCACGAACAATCACTTTCTGGGGCAAGTGATATGGATATCCTGGAGACTCGGGCTTATTTGGCAATGATTTCCGGTACTCTGTGGCTTGAAAAGCGGAAATGGGAACAGTGTCTCCAAGACTACTCCATCGCAAGAGTAATTTACACGGCTTTGGGTCAAAGGGTCAAGAGAGACGCTTTTCGGGACCTGCTCTCGGGGACTGTTGATCCAAGTCTCCGATACGCCGCTTATCAGATGAAGCTCCCCCGCTCCAAACCTACCTCGTCGCTAGCCATTGAATTCTTCCCGCTGGATTCGGAGATTCGCGCCGAGGTTGAGAAGATCGACCCCTCTTGTCTCGCTGAAGAAGCAGCCGGTACTCGACGAACTGCAGAGGGAGAGGTGCAGGAGTTGCCCCAATCTGTCACTTGGAGATCGCGAACTGTCCCACTGGACGACGCCTCAATTTCTCAATCGCTAGCTGCTGCTTCGGCCGCGGAGGCTCGCCTTACTACTTGGTTGGTAGACGCAGGAAAGTCCGCCGCTGCTAAGGATAAAGCTGCTGCATATGACAATGTGATTATTGCCAGTCAGGATGCTGTCGATGCTACCAAATCTGCAATTGATGACCTGGCTAGTGAGGGTGTTGATCCCAGTGATAAGAGAATGCAGGCACTGCAAATCACTCGAACTGCAGTTAATTACACTTTGGTTGGCTGGCGAGTCGGCCGTAACCGGGTGTTGTGTGGGGAAATGGACGGTCTGTCATTTGAGCAACAGCAACCCACATCGAATGGAAAGGACAATGCGAAACACACCACAGGCAATGGCAAGAAGTTGAACAAGCTCCGCGAGCGTGTCGTCCTGTACGATTCGACACTCCAGAGCTTGGAATTTATTCTCGAGCTACCGGGTGTTGCAGCCGACTCGGCCTTTGTGCAGGATCTAGAGGCAAAGCGGTACTACTTCCGTGCTCTTAGGTATGTGTTTTTTTTTTTTTTTTTTTTTTTCCACCACGATTGTCGCAACTAATCACTTTTTCTCTCCCCTTCTTTAGATGTCTTGCTTTAGGAAGATCCCATGGAGTGCTTTCGAAGTCAAAGGAGGCTCTTGCGCTATTTTCTCAAGCTCTGAACCTCGTCGCATCCGCTTCCCCCCAGGCAGCAACAGATGCTGAAGGTGTCCCCAAGCTTGACGTCTCCCGAGTGCAAGCAAGTACCTTGGAGTCAAGTTTGCGAGAATTGGTTGCTCAGTACCGTGGACTTGTCACTCTGGAGAAAGTGACTGCTGAAGAGGCGGCACAATTGATCCAGCGTCCTGTGGTAGAACGACTACAACAGTTCGCAGGATCTGGATTGGACCTTAATAATTTGGTGCCGTACCCACCTCAAATGCAGCCCATCCCCGTCAAGCCCTTGTTCCTTGATGTGGCATGGAACTACATTGATTACCCGCGCGAAGGTGGTCAGCGACAGGAGGCACCAAGTCAGGCACAAGCTCAAGCCCAAGGTGTCGTGGAAGAAGAAACAAAAGGTCGTCGTGGATGGTTTGGTTTTGGCGGTCGCTGAAGCCCCTTACATAGATGCCAATCTACGAATACCCATTGATTCATATCGATATATAGGTACCTCTACTTCGTAGTAACTTTGAATGTGTACAACATACGGAGTAGTACGATATGATATGTACGTTGTAGTAACAAGCACGAGCATGTGCATATATATGAACCCTTACTTCACCTTCAACCAATCAGCGACGATCCAACTCTCGGGAATTCTCTAGCCGGGGTCACGCCGTGCTGAGTAATTGGGATATGGCTTTACGCCGATTTGCTTGTATTTTTGGATACAACAGTTGTAGTATGCCGTATAGCCATATACAACATACATAGTTGACGAGATCAAGGCTTTCCTTTTCTTTCCAACGTTCGTTATTTTTGAGAATTCATATCAATACTCCGTATGCGTATCCGTATCCGTATCCGGATCATCATATTCATTATCATCACTAATATTTAAGCCTGGCTCGGGAGATTAGTATTGAGAACCCCCTAACTATACATAGTAGTATGTATAGGTTTAAAGATAACTCCAAAAAATAATACTACAATAAGTACAACATGGTCCGTATAATAAAAATCAACCTAATAAATAACTAGTTAGCAGAATCTATGTTGTATTAATAATTAATTACACAATGAACATTATTTATGCATCTGATAGTTATGGCTAATGCTGGGCATCCCGGGGTCCTTTTGTGTAATTGGTGTTCCCGCCCCTGAGAGCCCCAGTCAATTCTTTCTCCCCTCTCTCCACTCACCTTTTTTCCCTTTTTGTTCTGGCTTCTTCCCTTTTCATTAGCAATTCTCTTTCTCTTCTTTCTCTTCAATTCTTGCTCGGAACTTTTTGACCCCGTGGACTCCCCAGAATGGTCAATATGGCCAACCTCACCGGGAGCTTCGTCTCACCATCGGCGGATGCGACGGTCTCACCCCAACTTTTCGCGCCGGCCGGTCTCGTTGCCACCATATTGGATGGCTTCACTATCTGGAAGGGCCTGTTGACTCTATTTATAGCCGCTGTCATCTATGACCAGGGTGAGTGCGAATGCGGCATGGGTGGCCTTTGAAATCGCGTCTTGAAACTAATCACGACCCCCTATTTACAGTCAAGTACCACTACCTCAAGGGTGCCATTGTTGGCCCTATGTACAAGATCCCCTTTATGGGCCCATTCCTCGAATCAGTCAACCCCCAATTCACCAAATACAAGGCCAAATGGGACAGTGGAGACCTTAGCTGTGTTTCCGTCTTCCACAAGTGAGAAGTCCCAAATGTACTTGTTTCCTGTTGGGTCTGCTCTCTAACACTATTCTACAAAGGTTCGTCGTCATTGCGTCGACTCGTGATATGTCCCGGAAGATTTTCAACTCGCCCACCTATGTCAAGCCTTGTGTTGTGGACGCCGCGCACAAGCTTCTCGGCAAGACTAACTGGGTCTTTTTGGATGGCAAGGCCCACGTGGATTACCGTAAGGGTCTGAATGGATTGTTTACTCGCCAGGCCCTGGCCATGTACCTCCCCCGCGCCGAGGAGGTTTTCAACTCTTACAACCAGCACTTCCTCAAGAAGTCCGCTGCCACCAACTTCACGCCGACCCCCTGGATGTCCGAGTTCCGCGAGCTTATGTGTGCTCTGTCTTGTCGTACCTTTGTCGGTTACTACATCACTGATGAGGGTGTCCAGAAAATTGCCGATGACTACTATCTGATCACGGCCGCCCTCGAGCTGGTCAACTTCCCTATCATCCTTCCCTACACTAAGACCTGGTACGGCAAGAAGGCCGCCGACATGGTCCTTGTGGAGTTCACCAAGTGTGCTGCTAAGTCCAAGGCTCGTATGGCTGCTGGTGGCGAGATCTCCTGTATCATGGACGCCTGGGTGAAGGCCCAGCTGGATTCCGCCGCATACCGCGAGAAGATTGAGAAGGGAATTCCCGTTGATTCTTCCGAGAAGCCTAGCCAGGTTCTTCGTGAATTCTCCGACTTCGAAATTGCCCAGACTATCTTCACCTTCCTGTTCGCTTCCCAGGATGCAACCAGCGCCGCCTCCACCTGGCTGTTCCAGCTGATGGCCGACCGCCCCGAGATCCTGGACAAGGTCCGTGAAGAGAACCTTGAGATCCGGAACGGTGATCGTGATCTCCCTGCCACAATGGATATGCTAGACCGGATGCCCTATACCCGCGCCGTCGTTAAGGAGACACTGCGCTACCGCCCTCCTGTCATCATGGTTCCCTACCTGGTCAAGAAGGACTTCCCTATCAGCGAGACCGTCACCGTCTCCAAGGGCTCAATGATCATTCCTTCCGTGTGGCCCGCATGTCACGACGAGGACGCTTACCCCAATGCCGACTCGTTCGATCCAGACCGCTGGATCACTGGTACCGCTGAGCAGCAGACCAAGAACTGGCTGGTCTTCGGCACAGGTCCCCACTACTGCCTGGGTCAGACCTATGCTCAACTTTCCCTGATGTCCATGATTGGAAAGGCCAGTATGGTGATGGACTGGGAGCACACCCCCACCCCTGAGTCAGAGGACATCAAGGTGTTTGCCACTATCTTCCCTCAGGTATGTTCAACCTCATTTTCTTTCATGATC